GTGTCCCCACCGGTTCTATTATATTTGTGATAATTGGGGCGTAGCCCAGCGACAGAGAGGGGAGCGGAATAGGCAGACTGACGAAGTACACTGCTGAGGGGGCAGCAGGGAGCAGGAGAGCTCGGTCCCGCCCTGTGGGTCACTGCCTGGCCCGGAGTTGAACACGAGCTCTGCCTGCGATAGTGCTGAGCATAACCCCTGGGCCTCCCGGGAGGCCCCATATTGGCCCTGAAATCCCCAGAAAGCCTCGCCTAGGTAACTCTGGCTCAGCCAGATGCTGGCCCGTCTTGGGCATTTGCTCCCCTTTGCCCTGACTTCAAAGCCAGGCTCCCACCCCCAGCCTCTGCCCAGCTGCCCCCTCTGCGCTCCCGCGCCAGCTGCTTTCCCATGCTGAGGTCTCTGGGGTGGATCTCGGCCTAAGTCTGGTCCCTCTGGCTTCCCAGACACGTTGGGATCAACTCGAGGCTCCAGACTCGAGCCTGTTCCCTATAGACCCGGGTCCCCCCCGCCCCATGTGCCTCCCTCCCCCCTCCCTCCCCCAGTAGCATCCGGGCTTTTCCTGGAAGCCTTTCTCCCCAGGGGGAGTCTTTGCCTCATAAGCTCTTCTGGTCCAGGAGGTGAGTGAGGATGAAGTCCAGGGGGCCACCTGGTGGAGATCAGGTCAGGGAGGCCGAATAAACCGTGGGCAAGAGTGAGTCTGTGCTGCCTCAGCCTCGGTGCGCCCCTGTGCCAGCCACGGGATGGCAGCAGCTCTCAGGCACCTCATCTTACCTTGCTTGGGGCGCAGGAGCTGGGGGAGGGCTGGGATTGGCCTGTAGGGCCTCCTCTGTGGCAGGCTGGGATGCCCAGGGCAGAAGCTCTTTCCCCTGGGTCGTGTGGCTCTGCTGGCCCTGGCCATGCTGCCCCCTAGTGGTCACTCTGTTATCCAGCAGAGGTTGCTGAGGCTGGACACTGCCAGGGCCCAGCTAGGCACTTTCTGGCCTGGCAGCCCTCTGCTCAGGGTGTGGTCTGGGGTAGGGTGGCAGGTGTGGGCATGTCTGGGGCTGTGGGCATGGACAGATCTGCAGGAAGGGTGGGGCTGTGGCGACGCACATGTCCAGGGAAGGTCTAGCGGGACCACTGGGGTGTATTCTGCGGGTTCTGGGGAACCTGCTGGCTGGGCAGAGACAGAAGGGCCCCCTTTGCCCTCCCTGTGGTTCGGGGCCGCTGGGGAAGCATATGGAGACAGGATGAGAGGGAAGGCTGGGCCCTGGCCCTGGCCCATCAAGGCCACTCAGTGCTTGAGCGTCCTGTGCTCCCTCCCTGGAGGGGGTTTCCAGCCCCAAGCCACGTGCCTGACACCCGGTGTACACCAGGGCCCTCTGGCCACTGTGCGGGGCCACGCTCGCAGCGGAGGGACGGGCTGGCAGCGGGACGGGGCGACCAGCGAGATGCCGAGTGTGCAGAGGGGGGTGGCGTCACTGCTGATGGCAGATGGGCCGCGACAGAGAAGCAGGGCAGGGATTCGGG